CCTTCAAATTTGTGGACATCAGTGAAGAACAGGCGTTCTAGGAGATAAGTGAGGTTTCGAACTGATAGTGAACAGTCTGCTTCTTGTTGCTAGAGGTCTTTTTAATTTGAGTTTGGTGAGAATAAAGTTCCGATATTCCTTAAGAAACACTATTATTATAATAGGATTAACAAACGGTTGCAAAGCAAACAAGACATCAATAGTATTTGTAATGACTTGTGTACTGTCGACTCCGGCAAACAGAAAAACCGAGACAGTGAAGCATGGCACTTGCATGAAGACGAAAGGGCAGGCAGCCTGAAGTTGGAGGTATTTAAGAGAGAAATTTTGTTGCTACTAACTTTCTAAGCCATTTAGTCCCACATAGAAATCATCTGATTAGGTTCTACTTTCAACTGAATGATTGAATTCCTTCTAACAACTGTTTGGTATCTTACGTTCCGGTATTGCCGAATACGGACATGAGGAGTTGTTCGAAATAAATAAAAAGTTTAAAACAGAATTTTAGGAAAGGCATACCTGTAGCAGAAGCAGGATGAACATTCGACGTTGATGTTTCAAAGGATTATGCCGAGTTGCAGCATTTTTCAAGAAAGCGCTGATCCTGCCAGCACAGAATATATTGATGACTGCAAGAGTTGCAAGCGCAATAAATAAAATAACGACTAACACCAACTCCAAAGGACTCATTGTATACTGAAACGAAACATTTACATAGGGGCTAAGTGCAAGCTAGGTATACTTGCGATCCGTCTTGTTTGTGTCACCTTGTCAGGCTACTTGGGTGACCCACCGGTGATAAGAAAGGAATCTAAATTGTATTCTCCAGACCAACGGTGATGTCTGGGGACGGGTCTTTTTGAATGATGAATGGGTTTCGCTCCGTTTTTGCTACAATGGTTTTATTTCAATTTCTGAATACCCGGTGTTTTGGGGTGTAACTGGATTGTTTCAGGCGGCTTTGAGTGTGTAAGCTCACGTAGTCTGGTCAAAAGACTGCTCATGAAATGTTCCAGACAAACCACATTGAGCAGTTCGTTTTACAGAGACAGAGGCAGGTTCATCTCGAAAAATTTTAAGGCGCATACAAACATTCAATAGCTATGTAATCCGAAGGGAGGAACCTCTTTGCTCAGCTGAGGATACCAGGCACTTTTGGAAACAAATAATCAAAGACTGGCCCACCTTCGCCGACAAGCCGATGAAGGAGTTTATTCCATGACCGTTCATCTCAGGTTCCATAATAGAGCTTTCAACGAAGTGTCTGAGATTTTCGCTAGGCAGAGTGACCAAATAAACAGTCACACTATAAAAAATTATAAGTATAGCATTGCTAATGAAGCACATGATGATGGCTCGTGAAGAGGAAAGTCTTCGGAAAAGCTGCATCCTGAAAATTCTGCTATTGTGCTTTAGAATGTTTTTTGACGATTCAAAAGTAGTTTGAGGCTCATTTATACCTGCACAGTTGCAAATATCGATATATAAAGCTGTTAGTCACCACCAATATCGAGGTCAAATATGATACACAAAAAATATTTATCAAAAAGAATCCAATGTATCCGTAACCAAGAATACCAGAGGAGATTATAACGAAAAAGTAGTTCTTCGAGATAAATTGCTGAAATAAAGATGTGAAATATGCTTCGAAACTATGAAAGGCATGTGCCTAAAGAGGTCTGACAAATACACAGTCTTCCTTTCCTAATACAACTGCAATCAAGGAAATTTTGACTTCCACGCATGGATAAATTCATTGTTAAATTTTTACTATTAATTTTAGTGACATTTTTTTCTTTTTCTGAGGATTTGGTGTTTTCATACCTCCATGATATGACAATGAATAAAATCTCTTCAGTCTCTTGGAGTGGCGCTGAACCCGTCTCTACAGCAAGTATCCGGATACTATTGCCAAAGTATTGAATATTGAAATAAAATAAAAAGTTATCAAAAATATCTCACCGGAAATGAAAGGAGAAACACTATTGAAAATATGATATCCTGTATAGCAGAGATTAGGAAAAAGTATCTATACGAGTTCATCTTTTTCAGAGGACAGTATAAATATATGGTAATCAGAACTGTGTTGGTCAATAGAGAGAAGGCTGAAATAGCATAGCAAATAAATGGAATCACTTGGTCCGTGAACATAGGAAGTTTAGGTTAGCTCAATGTGTACAGTAAACCATAGATAGTAAACCATAGACCATAGTTCTGTGAAGTGATCACAGATTCGATGTTAATAGGAGCCTATACCTTAGTTTACGTTAGTAGCGGTCTTTAAGCTGGAATATGAAGGAGTAATTGCTGTTATCGCATGGATCGCTGTTTCGATGTTTAGAATGGCAAAATATTATAGTAATTCTGTTGTGGGCGAATTGAATGGATCGGAGATTGTTGACCAAATTGGACTTACAACCTGGAAGCTTGTAGGCAACTGGTACACTATTGTGTGATAATCACTGAAAATTCTAAATTTCAAATTAGCTCTGAAACATGACATTCTCGGTACTGTTTGCCATGCACCTTTTTCGATATCTTTCATAGCATAAGCAGGTGGACGTAAGAAGTTTTTTCAACCCATTGGCTTCGGCGCCTTTTACATTGTCCTAACATTAACTTCTTATTTCTCTTACAATTGTAGTTGGAAGTGAATGATTCCTGGACCACAAGGTTCTCTATAAGGTTGTGAGCTCAGCTGATACTTGGAAACATGGGAAGAATTATAAGAACCCTTGATAAATAATATAAATACTACAGGAGCACGATATGCCGATCGTCAATGGATTAATATTTATTTATTTATTTATTCATGGACGCAGCATGACTGCGTGGTAAAACACAACCAACAACGAAACCAGATCATACAATCGTCTTGATAAAGAACGCATCAATTTTGTAGAACAATGGTAACAATGCGGGTATCGCAGGCCGAGGAAATAGCCACACAGTAACCCGAGTTATCACTAGAGCGCACTGTTGCATCAGTGCACGGGGACAATCGTCCTCTTCGAGCTACTGACTCCTAACTCCAAAAAAGTAACATACGACGAGCACCAACCAGAACTTCAACAAGCAGGCTGAAATCATATGAACTGGCTTGTTTGTTAGACGGTCTGGCTCACTGTGCAAAATTAAACCTGGACTAAAGCGCTGAAGTGATAAATAGACAACCAGCCGGCGCATTTAAATATTATACACACAGCAATGCGAACAGCATGGGATGTGAAATGGTTGACCACGGTCTCGTTCACTTATTGTTGCTAGATGTTCTCAGTGGAAAAATTAAAGCTAATACCACCAATTTGCATCGATAGCAAAAACATGGAACTTGTAAAATTTCAGATTTTGCATGTTGATCTTATACTCGTCGACTTGCTTGGTCACAGAGGAGGGTTACAGTATTTGCAACGTTGCTATTTACCTCTTTCCATTTGCCTCTCGTAAATTAAAAAGCTACTCTCATGTGTAAGTGAGACGAACGAACGAATAGCCGAAAAATCCAGGGCCAAACGAAATTTTTAGTTGTAGTTCTGAGGATCTGGTGGTTGATTATCTTGACGAACAACTCCCTATTCGGTAAAATTCACTTGTAGCCGTACCCATGGGAAGTCTGCCAGCATCAATATTAGCCAAGCTGTCTGTCGGAAGAACAATTGCAATACATAGAAGAATCTCCATCGCTTGTTTTTATACATATTACCATTTTTAAAACAATCCCAATCAAATCAGAAATTTATCCAGTCATACACAGTATCAGTAACACAACATTCCTAGTTTCACATACAGTAGCGCTCAAAAGTGTTCGGTAAAATGCTTTGACGCTTTTTCGTTCATAACTTTTTTGTTAATAGACCAAATTGCGCAAAATTTGGATATGTTTAACTAGAGCATATTT